ATTTAAGTTTTTATACGCCTTTTGCAATTATGCAAATTTGATACAGATGAGAAATTTCTCTCTGTTTTTTTGGGGGAGCACGCAAAAGTTAATTGCGTTTTGTAATTTTTTTTCCTTGTAAAATTACAATTATCGAATCAATTTAATATTAATTAATGTTCTATTTAAAATCGTTTATTATCCTGTTATATTTCCTGTTTGATCCGAACTCAATTGAGATCAAACAGGATCAAAATCGAACAGGATAATTCACATCTTACTCAATAGACTTATTATCTGTGAAAAATAGGGGGAAAAAACCTCTGAAAAAAAGTGGTTTGCAACATTAAAAAATATATAAAAACTGACGTAATTTTACAGGAAGTAATTTAAAGAAGTTTATTGACAGTTGAACTTGAATCCTTGTTTTTTTTCTGAAGTTCTGAGTAATTGTAACTTATCTTGTGAAAAATAAGAATTTCTCATACTTCTAGATAACAATGATCTATGATAACATCAGGAAAAACCTGATTTATTTAGATAATTTGAATGAAATTAAAGATATTTACGTGTTTTCATTAGGAATTACGCGATGCTTTCGACAACGAGAAAGTCCCTCCAGGAAAATCTCGATTGATTTTGGCAATTGCTGTCCCTGCTGGACAAGAGTACATAGACAAAGGATTCGACATCCCTAGCATATCGAAGTAAGTAAGCAACTCGAAGCAAAAATGTGGTTTATGTGGTTCAACGGGTCGTTGGCTAGTGTAGCCTGTAGGTTAACCTAGTTACACTCTATTTTATTTTGCTTATTTTTTTAAAAAAAAAGCCACCTTACCCGAGGCTATCAGTTTAAATAGATAATTATTTATTTTTCTAGAAACGTTGATTTTATGAATATCCTGACCTATGATTATCATACGGCTTACGAACCTGAAACTCATCATCACGCTCCTCTTTTTCCACGTCCCGGTACAAGCCAATGGGAAGATGATAAAAAGTTAACTGTGGTATATAAAACTGAAGCTTCTACGCTCTTAAATAATATAATTTTTTCTTCAAAAAATGTATTTTTAAATTCAGGAATGGACCGTAGATTATTACATTCAGCTGGGTGCCCCGAAGGATAAGATAATGATGGGTATTCCTACTTACGGAAGGTCTTACACGTTGCTAGATGTAAAAGATAACGAGTTGGATGCACCCACGGATGGACCTGGAGAAACAGGACCTGCAACTCGAGAAAAGGGTTATCTAGCGTATTACGAGGTAAAAAAAATATATATTCGTACCTTATTTGTAGACACTTAAGGCTAATTTTCATGATAATTAATGCCTTAAATTTAATTAGATATGCCAATTCATCAAAGATGATGGATGGATCGTTGAAGCACCTCATCCTAAAGAAATGGGTCCATACGCTTATAAAGGTAATCAATGGGTCGGATTTGATGACGAAGAGATGGTTGCCGAGAAGGTAATTATGTTCCTAGTATTTTTTCCTTAATCTCTTTTATATAAAAGAATTTTTAAATAATTAAATTACTAGTTGTACTTAAAGAAAGAAGAGAAAACAAATGTCTGGAATGTAATAAATGGGTCAGTGGAATGAATGGAAGGTCGAATTATACGTTATTTATAATATAAATGTCCTTCTGTTTAGTTTTTCTATCTTGTTCCTTACTGGTATATGTCGATAAAAGTTGTTCTAAAGTTATTATTATTCAGTTTAATGTTTAAAATTAATATAAACGTGATATTTATATAAATGGATATTCTATTAGCAATTAATATAACCTTTTTTTATTTTTTAAACTATTTAAAATTTTAATCATAATTCTTTTTGGAAAAATTCAATTTTTGGCTGGTTTTTTAGGCTCGATACATTTTGGATCGTGGATTAGGTGGAGCCATGATTTGGACTTTAGATAATGATGATTTCCGTGGTTTATGCAGTGGAGAAAGAAGCCCTCTGATCACTGCATTAAGGAGTGCTCTTTTCTCTAACACCATACAAGGAAGTTCTAGTCAGAGATCCGTTTCTAGATCTGGAAGTTACGTGACTCCACTTCCGGTTCACTTTGATGACGAAACAGAAGAAGAAGAAGAGGAAGAGGAAGAAGTGACTCAACCACCAGTTAAATCTCGACGTCCTTCCTTACGTCGATTAGGAGCTTCTTCGAAAAACAGGAATAGATTGCAAACTCCCGCTCCTCCTCCCACGCCAGATCCCGGACCTACATTTTCCTGTCCTGACGAAGGTTTTTATAATAACCCTAAAGACTGTCGAAAGTATTTTTGGTGTTTAGATAGCGGCCCGGCAAATTTGGGAGTGGTTCCTCACGCCTTTACTTGTCCCTCCGGCTTATTTTTTAATTCTAAGATGGAAGCTTGCGATTATCCCGAAAATGTAGTTTGCAACGTTAAAACTCCGACACCAGCACCCACAAAACCAGCAAGACCTGTGCGTACAAGAACTAGAACTAGACAAAGAATTCGATCGACGACACCGATACCGAGAACCACCACAACGAGTGAACCAGAAACAACCACTAAAGAACAAGCTAAACCCAGAGTTAATAGTAGAAAACCATCCGGAAGTGATGATGTTGCAGAATTACTTCGTCTCATCCAATCTATAGGTGGAGTAGAAAAACTTCAAACCATTATAGGATCAAAAGAAAAAGGTGAAAGTAGAAAAGCCCGACAAGATGATGCTACAACGCATTTTGTACCGGATTATGTTACTCCTAGGAGATCGGGTGCAAGTGCCACGACTTCCGAAACTACAACTACAACATTGGCAACGCCCAGTACTTCTTTGTCCGCTCGTCCTCCTCAGTCTTACATACCCGTTTATTCTCCACCTCCTTACAGACCAGCCACGTTAGAACAACCGAATGGCCAACAAGAAGAAAGCGTGCAGCAACAAGTGCCACGACGTCCTCAGTTCGATGCAAAACAAGAAGGCCCATTATTTCAATACGTTGAACCTCCGAGGGCGCGTAAAGTGGATAAAGATGCTTCTAATTATCCATTTGTTTACCAGATGCCAGACAGATCGCGCGATAGTACCGAAACCGTTCCAGAAGACGCCACAAAAGTCACCGAAGGACCGTTTTCGTACCAAGCGCCCAATCGAGAAACCACTCGTGCGCCAGAGATCGTCTCTGAAAAACCTGCTTCACACGAAGATCCAAACTCGTACCGCGTACCCTTGCGTGTTCAAGTGGGAAAAGTAGTAAGAATTCAAAACGGAGATGGAAATGGAGGCGGGGGAGGTGGAAGGAGAAGAACAAGAGTAAGAGTGAGAACTGGAAGCAGACACGCTGCAGCCAATGTTAGAAACGAAGAAATTGCTGACGAGGCTATCACTTCCATCACTCAAACACCTTTAGAAGTAGTGGCCGTAAATGGCGGTGGAAGAATAGGGGTAAGAAGAAGACCGGTCACTAATAATGGTTACGAGAACGCTCAGACGGTTAGATTGGTTGCTCGAAGGCCAAATGGCGTGAGGCAACAAGCCTTAAATGGAAATGGCAAACATTCCGGAGAATTTGAATATATAGCTGTGAGAAGAATTCCTGCTGATTCTGTAGTAGTCATTGAAAATCCTGTAGTTACCGAGGCTCCTGTATTTACCACGTCCGCAGCAACAACTACAACATTAGCACCTACTACTACTGCTGCTACTACTACTACTACTACTACGGAGGCTACGACGACATTGGCTCCATTTACGGAAAGATTTACCACTTCCATTCCTACTACGACCGATTTTCCAACTACTAGATCCTCTATAAGAAGATTTAGACCGGGATATCAACCACCCATCTATCAACCTCCATTATCGGTCCCTTCGATAGATGATGAAACAACTGAAACCGTACAGCAAGTACAGCCTCAGCGAGAAGTACCCATCACGGGGTACGTACCTCCAATTACCACAACGACTATCATTCCACCTCCACGAAGCAGTGGACGTCGCAGAACCAACGGACGTAGACCTACCACGGCAAGACCTATTACCACAACAAGAAGACCTACAACTACCACCACGAGAAGACCAAGAACAACACCTTCGACAGCGGATGATGTCGAACCTCTAACAATAACGTCGTCGGGTGGAGTAGAATGCAATAAGCGTGGCATTTATCGCCATCCCGATGATTGTAGTAGATTCGTAGTATGTGCACCCTCTTCTCGTTCTAGTACGGGATTCAAAGGGAGAATGTTGAACTGTCCTGCTTCTCAAATATTCTTAGAAGACATAGGACGATGTATGAAAGGAGATAAAGGCACATGTGTCAAAACTAGAAAGTAATATTGACTTTACCTCGAGTGAGACGAGACTCTCTGCTCATTCATTTTCTTGTTTTTTGTAGCATTTTCAACGTCATCGACACATTGAACTGTATTCGTGAATCTCCATAAGAGCAAATTCAAAGAATATAAGGCATTCGGGCTTGATAATAATCGGCAAAGGAGATATTTTCAGGCTTGTTAACAAGAGAAATGATTTTTAAAAATACATATTTTTACAATTTTAGAATATCAAATAATACACTCCGACATTTCTTGAATTTAAGGCTTGTTTCCTTACACAAAACGTTCTAAGATCCTCAAAGAGCGCATTATACTCGAAGCTCTCAATTTTAAATCTATTTAATTTACTATCTTTTATTACGAATGATTATAATTCATATTATATATTTATTAATCTTACTTATTTTGTTTAAAGAGAAATTCCATATTTGTTGCCATTAAGAGATATTAAGAAGCATAATTTATACTTAACAAGATATAATTCATACATCATTTGTTATAAAATGCCTTAGTAGAAAAGCAGCGACGATTATTTGATGATTGTACATCATCTTGTATATATACAACAAGACGTGGTTGTTTTCATTAATACTTACTAATTGCTGAAAAATAAAATTAAAAAAATATTATAAATGTTTTTGTTTCTTTGTTTTCTTTTATTTAAAATTTTACATAACTTTTATAATCTTGCTTGGTATCCATTAGGCCTATATATATTAGGCCTACGGACTATAGTACGATAGGTATGGCTTTTAACCAGCGTCAGATTTACATGTAAGTTAGATCAGCCATGACATAGGGCCTTATCTTAAATAATTTCGCTGTAATCTATAAAAAAAAATTCAGGTCTTCCACTGCTGAAGGGCAGGATGGCCGAGGCAGTTAAGATACCAGCTTACCACTCGAGAACCTGAGATCTAATCCGAACAAGTCACTCGAAGAAATTTGCCTAGGTAGTCTGTCTCGGATATATCGGGCCCGTCCGTCATCACCCAATTTTTATCCCAATTGTGGGCCTGGCCGAATTTACGATGAGCTTAAAAGCATCCTTTTATTGCTTGTATGGCAGAAAGAATAAAAAAAAATACCACTCGGTCATCCTTGTTGTGAACCTTGCAACCTGCGATAGATATGATTAAAAAGGGTCTCTTAGTACCCATATAATGGAAAGAATAAAAAGCTACAATATACGTACGTAACCATTCTGTTTATAGTCCACGTGAATATCTGAATCATCTCGTAACCTTGCGTAGTCAGGAGTGGTTCTTGTATGCAAAGATCATCCATTAAGACAAAATAACTGTATAATGGTCTATCGTAGATAAATGTTTCTCCTAGTCATGGCGGTTCTTTGTTCAAACTTGAAATTGGTAATGAAACGTTCCCCTTTTACGGAGGATATGCGAAAATATGTAAGCGACAGAGCTTCCTATTTAAGAGGCCTGACACTTGGGACTCGAATTTAAGAGCACTCATAACTGAAACTTTGTATTGCATGGAATTTATTAATCAAACGTTCGATAAAAACTGATCTACGTGACACGATACCAACCAATAAACATAAAATCAGGAACACTGTAGAATTTCGTTTTACGTTATCGATACGATTAAAGTTAAACTTTGATTTAACGTTACCATTTCTTTTCCTCTGAAAATGGTACGAAATTGAGTATGGCACTATTGGCGCTTTATGAGGATGGCAGTATATAGAGATTTGAATGTAGATACTTTGAAACGTCACGTCACACAAATTTCGTGACGTTGATTATTAATTAATTACAAGGCTTACATGCTTAATAAATTTATGAAATACTCGTAAGTGAAAATTTTTATACAAAGACGTAATTATGAGTGATATCACGACAGAAAGTGGAACAGAAAAGGTCATGATAATGATTTTAATAGCACGAAAAGAATCTTATTCATCGACGTTGCAACAGGAAATGATCATACTGAGATCCAGCTACTAGTCCTTGATACCCACGTTTCGACAAGAATTAATTTGCATGTAAAGAAAGTCTAAACAAAGACATTTACTTTCTGGTATGTTATTTAATAGATAAATAGATAAACACTAATTTGCATATTATTGTTATGACAATTATATTATTACTATTGTATTGTTATGAGAATAATTATTGTTACATATAGAAAATTATGTATCAAAAATATGTCTTATTTAAATTAATGTGAAAATTACTTTTCAGTAAAAAAGAAATTCGATGGAATATTTGAAAAGTATTCTGAAGAATGTCCTCCGAAGTCATTAACTGAATGATATATCTGATTCGGTAAAGATGGAAACTTTCTTACGTATACTGCATGATCCTCATACTAAAGACACTCATTTGCCACTCTTAATTCTTTCCCTGTTGTTAGGTCTGGCGAAATTCAATATTTATTAATATTATAGATATGAAGCATTGCAGATGAATCTGCAAGGCTGAATGACTTCGACATTTATCAAATTAGAACTATTTTATTATTCGGGTTTACTGTTTTAACTGTTTTTATAATAAATAAGTTTTATCCAATATACAAAGATAAAATGGCAAAATTTTAATTGTAAGATACACATTAATGTTAACAAAACTTGGAATAATGGGTGCTGCTTGGTAATGCTGTTTTACTACAGTTGGAAAAGCAATTCAAGCAATGACAAGCCTGTTTTATAGTCCATTTAAGAGCCTCGGGCGCTAAAAGAGCTTTTATTTTTCAATAGCCATCGTGGTTTTGGCCAGATCCACAATAGCGGTAACTAGTGATTAGGGACGGGACCAAATATATCAGAACTGACTTCAACTGAAAAATTCCTGAACGGTTGCTCTCCCAGATGTAATCCCGAACCCCTCGTAGTGGTAAGCTGATGCCTTAGGAACCTTGTTCTTGCATAACTTTAAACATGCATATCTTTAGTAATTACAGGGATATAAGACACATATAAATATATGCTTATCGATAATCGGTTTTGGTCCAGTATTCAATAACTAGAAGCGGCCTGTGGATTTATTTAGGTCTTCAATAATATGAAAATTTTAATATAGTAACAAACAGTAAAGAATGCAATCAAGTAATAAAATGTGTACGATAGTTTCACCTGCGAAAAGTAAAAATGTTAGACAAGTGGATCCAAAATTCTTATTACCTTTTGCCCGGCCAGTAGCCAGACATTTCTGTTAGTAAAATAATATAAATAAGGACGCAAATTATCCAAGGCACTGTATATATCTATACATAAATGTAATGAGTTTACATATCTCTATACATTTCTATACACGTTCTACACATGTATACATGTGTACTATATATATATAAGCTATCGTAACTGGAATTAAATCAGCACAGGAAAACTATTTTAACACAGAATTTTGTTTTGTTTCAACCACGATAAACAACTACACAGAAGAAAGTTAACAATATTTATTTTCAATCCAATCAAGTCGAGCGTGCAAAATAACGATTGCTTGAGCAATCAAATCATATTTTTCAACGCAATTCAAAGAGAAAGAATTAACGTTTAAAAAAATTATATTAATAATCTATGGAAAATATAATTAGATAATTAATCAATTATGTAATGAGATATAGAAGACATTTAGTTATAGATTTAATGCCGTTCTAAATAATTATCATTATATATATTTGTCTGGTTTACTTGAAATAGGTTACATACAGTAAGTCTACAATAAAAATAAATAATTACAACATATTGAGAGCAGGAAAAATGCTATTTTCGTCTAAAAATAACGACATTACAACGAATAATTGTAAAACATTAACCACAATTTGGTTACCGGTAAGATTTTTTTTACGTGTTTGCAACAAAATTGTCGTCTGAAATCCAGTCTTATCTGTTTGTATTTTGTTGGAAAATAAAGGAAAAATGACGCATAAGCGGATTATTTATTCAAATATGATTTATTCTCTTAGAGAATTTAAAATGACCTGATATTATTCTAATAGAAGAAACAATAAGCATTTACAATAAATTGCAATTATCTGAAGTAATGTATTTCTATAAATTAGAAAAGAAAAATTTTAATAAAATAAAAATTAAATTGAGAATAAATTCCTACACTGAGATCATTAAAATAAATGTTTAATCAAAATAATAATTTTCTATGAGTAATAAATAGAACATTTTCTTGGGGTTTTAATGAAAAGTTATATGCATTCTTAAAAAGACATTGTGATAGATTCTACGAACAACCAATTCCCAAAAATGTACGTAGATAATGGCGGTTTTAAATTATAATAGTATCGGATTCCGAATACTGAACTAAAACTATGTATTTGTTTTAAATATATACTGTATCTGCCGACAAGAGGATAGATGAGGCGGTTAAGGAGACAGTCTACTTCTTTAGGACACCCGGAATTGAATCTGGGCGAATAACTCCAAAAAGTTTTTGCGGACGGTCTGTTCCAGATATGTTGGGCATCGTCTTATCTAGAACCAGGGCCGGCCATCGGGGGGGTGCGGCGGATGCTGTGCACCGGGACCCCGCGATTGANTGGTTTGCTACGGGATTTGATTTTGAATGAAAGAGATGTAAATAACACACAAGACATATGCAATACATACTAAATAATAATTATAATGAGTTATTTCTAAATGTATTAACTGTGTTAAAACTTTTCTTTGCGTTGCCAGTTACTATAGCAAGTGCTGAGCGCTCTTTCAGCAAATTAAAATTAATAAAGAATTATTTCGATCCAGCATGTGTGCAGAACGCTTAATGCAATTGCTATATTAAGCATTGAAAAAGAAATTGCAAAAATTATAATTTTCCTGAAGTAATTCATGTATTAGCAAGAACAAAATCACGCTTTAAATAAACATGCATTAATATATGTTTGTGTTTGTAATTTTTTTTATTTTACAAAAAATGTAGGACCCAAATAGTTTCTTGCACCCGGGCTCCTTTATAGAGAAGGCCGGCCCTGTCTAGAACAGGCAACCCGACCGTCTCCTTTATGAACCATGACCGAACCCACAATAGGCATAAGAAAAAGGTCCTCTTACAAGGAGAAGATCAGACGTTCGAGTCTCCGATTGAGCATGTATCCCTAAATACAAACAGCTCCTTGTCAAAATGATAGGACTAACTTCTCGAGCGTTTCTGAAAAATGAGCTTCTGTAAATTATGTTTAGCTTATGCCTTTGGAAGTTTCATATTTTTTCGGTTCGGCACTAGCCGAATGAATAAGTTATAAAATACAAGACTATTGGAGATATGTGTTGTAAGTTCAAGCCTTCATAAATTTAGTTATTTTTTTTTATATGTAACATAATTACTTTACCGTGCAACCTTTGGCTGTGTCGCGCCGCGAGGGATAACACACTGAACGAACGCCAAATTAGGCATAAAAACTACAACTGATATAATTTATCTCTAAAATGGTATCTTTCAGGAATGTCCAGATTTTCATAATCTTGTAGTTTTTTCTTTGGGCGTAGCCATGTTTGTTTTCATTTTGTCTTCCACCAAGGATGACAGTCAATACTAGATTATTATTGGCTGGCTTATTGCGGCTACATGCAACCAATCACACGCAACCCTCGTAATGTAAACCAAAGAAAAATTTTTTTCTGAAGCAAGATTGTACCAAAAATTGCAATGTACTGTACTGTACGTTGCCTTAAATGGTTGCACGCAATATACTGTATATTGCTGCAACTTTGATAAGTTCGTTTTGACCCAAGTTACGACTATTTCTTAGCCGACCCAAACTCGAATCCGGATCCTCCAGTGAAATGGAGTCTTCATACGAGTACAATCTATTACATCTAAAATAGCTACCAGTTTGATGATACCATAACATTTTGCACTTTAGCCGAACGCCTATGCACAAAATGAAAATGTTTTGTATGCAAATTTCATTTCAATTATTCTATATACATTTCCTTTAGACAGATTTCCATGTTCAAGAGTTTCCACTTGCATAGAATACACAAGTAGAAATTTCCATAAAGATGACATGACATGACTTCTTTGACCCGGTCCTTTATCTAACTATGTCCTCATGTCTCGTATAATTTTATCCTTTTGGCCTTTATAGTATTTTACATTAAAAAAATAAACATGGTTTGAAAATAGTTTAAGTTAAATTTCTTTTAATAAGAGGAACCCGTCTTATAGGGGATCTACTGTATCGTCAACTTTTTCGTTGGTTTCTTCAGAATATTTCTACATTTATAAATCGATCATCTTGAAAATATTTAATTTTTAAGATGGTCGATGGCCGAGCGATTAAAATTTAAACACTGGAAGACCCAAGAATGAATCCAGTCAAGTACAAATCCCAGGAATTTTTGGGGGTTCAGTTCCTCACACCCGGCAGTCCCATTTTGGATCTGGCCGAACCCACTGTAGGCTTGATATAAGATACTCGTAGTGCCCGCAGGGCGGAAAGAATAAAAGAAAAATATTATTTATCGTGAACATTTATTTATATATTAACATATATAAATAACATATATTTAACATTATAGTTTTTATAGTTATAATTATTTTTCTACAGATATTAATTTAAACTTAAATTTTACCGATAATAGGAGAAATATTCTAAAAAAAAAAAAATTCAACAATTAACAGTTTCGTTCATCTGGCAACACGATAGTAAGAAGCATGCTGTATACGCGAAAGGAGAAAAGCATGCTGCTTGATGTTTGTATAAATATATTCATATATTATGATGTATTAAGGTTTTAACAAGAAAAATAATTATTGTAGAGAAATCTTAAATTAAAAAGGTAAAGCTATATTTATAATATATAATTATATGGGCACAATTCTAGGACAAATGTAGCAAATTGGGACTTTGACAGAGCTGTGGAGCATGCCCATAGGAGTCAGAAACGACAAAGGAACCATGAAGTAAGGATAAACTTTTACCCCTATTCTAATAAATTACCAATAATTTGATAATTTATTAGAATAGGTTCGGTTAGAACATGGGTCCCCACAGTCTGGCCACGCTGGTGCACGTAGGTAAAGTTTGACCAACTACTGCATTCAACTATTCAATCCAAAGTGTCTACGCCAGCTTTGAGTAGCCCATTTAACTGCTTGTAGAGTATTTGATGTTGTTAGTTTTAGGGAGTGTGAGGATGAGCCGCTGTGTGGATCCTGAGGTGTGAGCAACAGCAAGCACAAAGTGAATGACTACATATGGAATGTCAGTCAAGGCAAGCAACAGCCTGCCTTGACTGATGCAGAGCATGGAAAATAGGCAGTAGTAGTGGTTTAAGGTAAAAACTGTTTTCAGTCAGTAGTAGTAAATACATTTATTATATACATATTATTATATACATTTATGTTATAGGCACCATTTGCCGTGCCTAAAACATAACTTGCATGTAAACATGATGTCCACAAGCAAGGTGTGGAACCCCAATGGTGGCTTATGCAGCCGTCGGGGTTCCACATTCAGAGGTGAATATTTCACAAATGGTCACACGTCAGACTTTTCTTTATTCTTTACCAATAAATATCAGTAGAATGTTTGACCACAGCACTGGGTTGTCTGTTAAATACAGTCGACCCCCCCTATAGGATATAGATACGTTCCAATTTATTAGGAATCCGATTTCTTACAAGTCGTTCCAATCACAGCCCGACACATGTCAAGTTTACGGACTATGGCTGATTGAAAGGTTTTCTTCCATAAAATTAATCGATTCTACACTAATCCGATTCAACATTTCCAAAATACGTATATGTATTCGTAGTTTTATAGGAATCATAATTGTAGGGACCGTAATTATAGGGGGGTCAACTGTACACAATTAGCTTAATGGATTGCATAGCATGACTCTCTACAGCACCTGGAACTAGGCTGATTTTGGGAGACTATATCTCATAAATGATCACATTTATAGTGTGTCTTTTTCTCTTTTGTTCCTAATGGCATGATCTACAGTTCTGTTAAGGTTCCAACAGTATCATTCACATCTGTAATAAAGTCTAAACACAAATTTTAGTATCAATACTTGAGTTCTTTTAAGTAATGTAATTTGTTGATAACAGTTTCATTTATAATGCAAAATCATACATTCAGTACATTCACAGAGGCTGAAGAATTCTCTAATATCTTTGGGAACAATCCATTTTTTACTATTTGTTGGTATGTTATGTGGGTATAACTAATCAGGATGTTATATTGAGGTTTTACTATATACAGGATGATTCAGGAGGATGTACTGCTACCCAGGAGCATATTTTAGACATTATCATAAACAAAAAATATCCTATAAACTTAGGTCCTGTTCTCAATGGTTAGAGTAATCCACTGTGAGCATGCAAACTCAACACAGCATGAGCGTGTGACAATGTTGTATCAGCAGCCAATATCACTGATGCACCTCCTGCAGTGTCTGATTCTTACCTTTGTACATATTATGCATGCCATTATGATAATCAAAGATAGGCAATTGGAATAATGCAGAGTAATGCATGCAGTTCACAAGTGGAGTGGCAAGGTATATTGAAACAGACAGAGACATTTTTGAAAACTTCTTGCAAACTCTGTTTGTAAAAATTGATACAAAAACACATTATCATTTAGTTCACTTTTACTTTTCTTTAATTTCTATTTTTTTAATATACTAGAGAGATGCTTTTCTTATGTTCAAAACTAACTATAATATATTTTGGATTGTAGAATTTTATTATTATTCTATATGTGGCATCCATAATAAAATTCTTACATACCCACATAACTGACAAATGCAGACAGCTACAGTTATGAACGTAATATGTAGTTATAGTAAAGTGAGTAAGCACTATAAGACAAGACTGCTTGCCTGAACCCATAGCAGTAAAATTTGTAATTTAATATTCCTGTCTCAAAAATGATGCATGATATGGAAAGTCTATTGCAAACTTGTAGAGCATGACCGATCTAGTATGAAAAGACACCATGAATAACCTGCATACGTGATTAATGTAATAGAAAGTGTAAAATGCTAATGTACACATAAAGCACAGGTAGTAAAATGTGTATTTCTTGTATTCATTCATGTGTTTTCTTTTATTTCTTATGTGTTTGTTTATAATGTGTATTTCTCATTTTCCTGTCTTTCTGCTACATTCATTACTGTGTCTATGTTGTGTGTTGCTCACATGTCAATGTATAAGACTTTAGTACATTCTCTATATATATTCTGTTGTTCTTTTTGCATAATTAATAAATTAATGTTTTATGAATATTTTTTTTTCAGAAACAAATCATGTCAAAAGAATGTGTACTTTCAAAATTATTTATTTCTTGTCAGAAACACGGATATCTTACACCTATGTTATCAAATAAAAATATTTTAGGCTTTTCTTATGGTCCGTTGGGAACAGAACTGTATAGGAATATTGTTCACGAATGGTAAAATTAATTTATTGTAAATAAAATTTAGATTCTGTATAAATTATTTTATATTCTTTTTACATTATATTAATCTTAGGTGGAATTCAGCTGTGAGATTTGCAAATATACCCGTATTTCCATCGTCATTGTCAATTAAGGAACAGGCAAATTTTTCTTCTTTAGTTTATGGTAAGTATCTGAATAAAAATTTATTTTTGCCAAATTAGTTTGGCAGAAATTATGTTACAAATATTAAATTAGAAATTACATGATAAGAACAACTAGAGGTAGACATTAGGCACCATCTCACAACGAAAGTAGTGACTATAATTTAATTTTAAATTCTGAATAGTCTGAGGTTTGGGTAGCATAACTGGTCGGCACACCACATGGCAGAGGTTGCGCTGGGCTGTTTCTTCCAGACTATTCTAAATGTAAAATTAAATTACAGTTACTACTTTTGTTAAGAGATGGCGCCTAACGTCTACCTCTAGTTCTTATCATGTAATTTCTAATTTAATATTTGTAGCATAATTTCTGTCTGATTAATTTGGCTGATGGTTGGTTGATTATTAATACATTGGGTTCTTGGAATGTTTATATATTGTAAACTATAATGTTTTATTATTTCAAAAATTATTATTATTTTTTTAAGTTAATTTATTTTTACATTTTATAGTGAAAACTATCCTAAAAACTAGTCAAAACTTAAAAAAGAATTCTTGGTAAACACACATAAGAACAAAAAAAAACATACAAAGAATTTATGAAAGAAAAAAGAAAACCACATGCATTGAGTCTGCATATAAAAAATATAGATATATATTATATACAGGATGGATGGAAAGTAATTAGGCATTGAAAAATTGCTACAATTTCTATATTTGTAATTGAAAGATGATGAAAATTATTTTACCCATACTTTATTAAATCGAAATATGGAAACACCTTAAAATCCAATGTAGGCACTGGCACCATCCACCAACTTCCTCAAATGACTGGGGATTGTGATGTGGATTGATGGCCACTTTTCTGTCCACCCACAATCAAATCTGTGGTCATTAACTTTGAATGATGATTCTTGATTTTTTTCTGACAGATTGTGGCATGAGGTCCATTTACCGTGTGTCACAATCTCTGCACTAAAACCACTGATTTCCACATCTCATAGCATGCAGCAATTTACACTCATTTCTGAACAGAAAAGCAGTTGACCATCTTTTTTGCCAATTTGTGTGCAGTTTCTCTTGGTTATTGTCCATACCGCTGATGTAAAAATTATGAAATTCCATTGATTGATGTATATGCATGCACAAATTTTATTATGATTGCATTATTATTACAAAAATTTTATCAATTTTTCAATGCCAGGTTACTTTTCACCCACCCTGTTTATTATATATATTTCTTTAATTAATATAAAATAAAATGATTCATAGACTACTTTACTTTCTATTAAATTTAAATGAAGAAAGTTTACAATCAGTTGTTTAATTAACACAATAAAAATTTCAGAACAAAAATATATATAATTTGAAGACAAATACAAAAACAATTTAAAATCTTTTAAAAGAAGTTTTAGATGGACAAGATTCTATGAAGAATAGTGTATTTTATTGGTGTTCGTGTTGCTATAGAATGAGATGAATATACTAAGAAGACTAAATTCTGTATTTTCATTAAATTACGGTGAAATCTGCTAATGTGACTACATGTGTAAGGTGACCACTTTGAGATGGTCCCTTCAGTGGTCACATTAGCAGTTTCACTGTATATATATTTCAAATATAAACATCTTAAATCCAATATTTATATATTAAAGCCAATATGCCTCTAATGCCAAATTACCATTTAATTAATAATAGTAGTAGTAATATAGCCTTATAATTTGGCAATCATTTGGCTTTAATATACATACTCTATTAAGGGTTAAAAAAATTGCAATAATGACTCAATGAACTACTTACAGCAGCAAAAAGGTTTAATGACCTTCATCCTTGATGAAGGTCATTCAATATGAAACAAATATTAGTTTTTTCCAGTTTAATAAGCCTTTTTGCTGTTGTACAAGGTTTATGTAGTTGGTTACTACTAATTTGGCAATCATTTGGCCTAATTTTTAAGTCTAAATTTGTTAATTCTTTGAAAATAGTTTCTGTCTTCAGTCTGGTTTATTATCATGTTAAATATTTAATAGCATTAAAGTAAATCAAATTTAGAAAAATCTGTTAAGACTGAAATATATAGGAAAGTAATATTAGATATGATTCTTGAATTAGTGTGCTTTTTTTCCTAAGAAGAATTGGAATAACATCATTCTAATTTCATAATTTTTTGGCATTTGTTTAAAAATTATATGAATTTGGCAATAAATATTTCCAATATATTTAATTTAGCATTTATTCTAATTACATCATCCTGCCCTGAAAGAATATTTTATGATTCAAATATATTTTAGATATGTTTTGTAATATTTGCATATAGAACAAGATTTATTTTAAGATTTAATATTTGAAAATAAAATCTTAAAATTCTGAAAAAATTCATAAATTAGTTGCAATTTATGAATTGAAAGTTTCATTTGTTTCCTACGAAATTGAATTTGAAAATGAACCTCTATTGATTCATGTAAAAAATAATTTATGTTTAGTAACATCACTTGGGCAATCTGCATAGGAGGGATGCCTTTCGGGAGGTCTTTTATGGGTAATTGGCCCATATTTAGATGTTGGAGATGTAGAGAAAACCTGGAAAACGCCATGTGATCAGCCCGTCCTTTCAAGATGTAAACCCACAACTGAATTACAGTGTTCAGGAAACTGAACCTCTTAGCCACTGGTGGATGGAAAAAAATTAAAATAATTTAAAATTTAGAATATAATTTTAAAATTTTCCATTTAAGCATATACAGTATGTTTGTGTTATTTGTTAGTATTGTTTAAATTAGTGATATTCTATGATAACAAAATAACTTTGTTTTATTTTGAATTTTTTTGTATTTAAATATAATAAAATTAAACTTATTCTATTATATTTTTAGATACATTACAGCAATATTACAAACAAACTTTGGAATGGGTAGGCGGAAAAGTTCCCTTCGGAATTGCAAATATCAGAGATTATGTAAATACATCCAAGATTCCCAACGAAAATGCTATTATCGATTATGAAGAAAAAGAAATAGTTAAAGCATGGTATTCTTAAGCAAGTAAAATCATAATTAATAATGCTGTTAATCTTTTCAAATCTAAAATATAATAATAATTAATATTTAAAGCTGGATTTTAGTGGGCTATCTTTTCATTAGACTTAACTTAAGGTATTAAATAATTTGGATTAAAGGTTAGGCTAGCATTAATGTTTATATTAATTTTAGATATTGATTTAAATAATGTAAACTATTCTAGAAGAAAAAATTGGTCTGGATCTGAGTTTCTTCCTTCTGTATACTGTACAGATATATTACTAATTATACTTTGCAGACCTCCATCCAGATTTTGCTTGAAGACTTATTAATTTGGACTATATATTTGGACACATTAATTACAATGCTGACTGGTGTAACTTTTCACCAAAAGGTCTTTATAATATTTTGCTGATTTGATAGTCTGAAAAATCTGGCTTTGGTATTTGGTAATTGTAGATTTGGCTTTAATTGTTGTTAAATATAAAATACATCTTCAGTTAATAATTTACAATGAAAAGCTATACAGGTATCCCTTGTTAGATGCGAGATTTGATTAATGCGCAAAATTAATTGCGGCATTCTTTTATATATGCTGTAGAAGTTTAATTCACAAGGCTTAACCTCTGTCTTTACTAACATTGATACTGTATTTGATTAACGCAATTTTGATATACATGGTAGCATCGAGGGATGCTACATTTATCAAGGGATACTTGTAATACTATGTATTAAAAAAGAAAGCTGGCAACATTATTACTGGACTTTCTCAGCATTCTTTTATTTGTTTTTCATCCTTAATAATTGTTACCATTACTTTAAGTCTTAAGATTTACATAAAATTACTAATATGACTTTTATGACATCTGTTTGCTCTGAGTTTGCTATATAGATAGAACTATTTATAGAATTTTGTTTAATTGTTATATTATATTTTACAGGACACCACAAAAATGGACTAGTTTAAATTTATTTTACATTTGTTCACCTAAAAAACCTTTTATATGGTTGGATCATTGGCATAAACATCGTCTTAACTGGTGGAGAAAGGTAAATAGTAATACATATTTTATTAGATAGAAAATAAAAACCTTTTCATCATGAATAGCAACCATCAATTTTTGGAAAAGTTTAAAAATCTTCATCCTTTTGTATACTAAAAATCCAAATTATATATTTTTTTTATTTTCAAATTTTAACTTTTCTTTTTTAAGTATTGTATTTAAGTAATTTCTAATGTATTACTGACAATTACATCTGCCAACTTGTTAAAATCATGTTTTTAAATATTATTTTATTGTTGATGTATGAATCCAGTAGAACAGTGGAGCAGTAATGGCTAATAGAACAGTGAATTTGTAGATTAAAATTAAACCAAATGCTTAGTTCAGGAAATCAAATACAGTCAAATTTCAAATGACAACCACATTTAAATAGTGTCCATTTTTTGGAAACTTTGTTTTGAACAAAAATACATAGAAAATAACCTCCAAACAATGGTCAGTTCTTATGTTCCCAACAGTAGAACTGTATAATTTGTTAGTTTAAAGCATGTTTGGCCATTATTCTGATCATTTTTACCTTATAAAAATATCCAACAATGTTAAACAACATATTTTAGAACAAAGAATATTATCTTAGAATTGATGAAATTAGAATAATTATCATTTACAGTTAAATTATTAAAATTTACAAAAACTTAAAAAATTTTTCTCTAGCATTGACAGTTTTATGATGAATATTCTTTGTGTTAAATAACTTTATTCATATTCATAACTTGTTAACATAATAGTTTCACTTATAATTCTGTTCTAATATTACCTATGACAATTCTACTTTAGAATTATTTATTTTAGTAAAATATAATGCATTTTAAATTCATTAAACTTCAAAATAATCTTTTTTCAGTTATTATATACAAATATTATGAAAAGTGTAGATGCTGTTCAGTTTAGTAAGAAAACAGTTTGAAGCTGTCAGATTTGCTGGAAAAGATGATGTATATCAAATGGAGAATGATCAATTCTATTTCTATAATTATATAATTTGTTTACAGCATATAATAATTTATATATACTGCAACTAAGAACTAAGCAGCTAATATAATTAAGCAGAATTAAGAACTTAGGTTAAACATTTATTACATGTTTGATTATTAATAATAAAGTTTTGAAAGCCAAAATCCTTAATAAAAATGGCACTTTTAGTGAATTATATTATGCCAGCTTTTGCATACAAGCATGCATTTAACAGAAGAGAATAATTAAGGCTTTCAGTGCGTGTTTAATGGTACGTTTTAAAATATACATGGTTTTGAATTGAGTTGTATAATTTAATTTGAAAAATGTAATAATCTAATATTGTATATGTTCTTTCTTATCAGTTGACTGATGAGGGGCTATGCACCTGAAACGTGTAAAAGTACCCGTATCAACTGAATAAAGAGGAAAAACACCAAGTGTTTAATTAATAACACAGTCTTGTGTTCAATAGTCAAAGGATTTCAGAATAAGGAATGATTCCTTACTCTGAATATTGATTTCACTATATATACAACTCAAAACCTGATTTAATTCATTAAAACCAAATGATCTGCCAAATTATTGGGCTATTTTCATGCTACCAGAATGGGTCTCAAACCCATAGAAGTTATAAATTTGAGCCCATTCTGGGCTGATTCTTCTAGGAATTTATTAAAATTAATATGCGATAGCAACATATCCACCTACCTCTAGTCAAATTAATTGGTAACTAATTATTAATGTAGTCTGAAAACATCTCAATAATTTGGCAGATTGTTTGGCTTTGATGTTAAAATTTCATGTTTTTAAGAAAATTTCATTTTATTAAGATTTATTTAGTATCACTATAATGTGCATAACAGAATAAAGTCTTGTGATAATCAACAAACAATTCATAAATTGAATAAATGATTATAATGATACTATACCTGGAACATAAAATATATTTAATAATTGTTCATTAAAGAGAATCACCTGGGAGAAGACGATTGGAATCTATCCTAAATGTGAGCCTGCTTCAATAGTGAAGTGCAGACTTGACTCTTTAATGATGACCATTCTTCTTTAATAAATGTTGGCTTTCTGAAATAAACAGTGATTTTTTTATTTATTTATGTTTATTCAATTTTTGTATTCCATTTATTCACTGTTTTCATTATTACACTAGTTAACAAATATCTTTAAAATGCAATAATAAAATGCTTTAATGGCAGTAAATCTACACTTTACATATTTTTGTTCTGTTTCATTTGTCATTGAAAACTATTGTATCAAATCACTTGAAAATAATTAAATTTTTTTTATGTTTGCAGTTTTGTTCTATTAATATACTTAAATTTTATGATAAACTTTTACAACTTTACAGTCTATCTGTAAAACAGTTATACAATGTATACCAACACATTTTTAATATCCTGAATAAATTTTATGGAAACTATTTTAACTTATTGTTAAATTCTCTCATGTACTGGTACAATAGTTTTGCATTCTCAGCTTTCTCATCATATATTGCCTGAATAGAATTTATAAATCGTAAAAAGAATTGTATATTCATTGGAGTTATTTCCATTTTCAGTTTGTTTGTTTTTCAATCACTTTTTAGCGATACTATCAAGAAATGAATTTGATAATATTGTTTGTTTCTTGCTTTGTACACACAAGAATCATAATAAACATTTCTCCAGAGTTTAAAAGTGAGAGCTCAATCATGGTGAGCTCATATTAGAGGAAGATTCTATTCAATTGGCATTATTGTCAGTTTTAAATACATCAAGAGAAGTTTCAAGAAGAAAGATAGCTTTACTTTAAGAAGACCAACAATTTAAGTAAAGAGGAAATTTTTCTGAATTTTTGTTCAGACCAAAGAATAAGTCTGAATATATTTCTTCTTTGTTTAAACTGTTGGTTTCTTTAAATGATACCAAGTCTTACATCTTCCTGATACATCACAAACATTCAGTGTAATCTATTTTTATCTAGAAAGTGTAAAAAAAAATCTATTAACTAAGAGAGGTCATCTCTTACAAACATTGCAGATTTATTAACCATAAAATGTATGTAAAGCAAAGTAAAATTAATTACATGTTAAAAAATATTAGAATAGTTGATCTTATAACAGCTACAGTATTTTTATACACTAATCATTATATAGTAAGTTTCATTAATTCATTTTCATTTAATTTGAATTTAGTAGATTGTACTGTCATTCCTGATAGATGTTAATTTTACATTATTTTCAATAATTCAAAATTTTAAGATACTTTTGGATAATTAAACAAAAATAATGTCCTGTGAACAGTTAGAGGCTGTATTTGTGATCAGCTTTTTTGCCAGTCCCCATGGGTTTAGCCATGCTCACAATGGGGATGGCTGGGTGTTGAGACTGGGCTCAACATACCTGGAAGAGATCATCACGAAATTCCCTGAGCTTTTCAACTCAAACCTGGATCCCCAGAACAACAGACTTACGTAATTATTGTTTTAGCCATCCAGTTTTTGAACAGAAATAAATTGTATCATGCAAAACAAGTGATGTTTATTACATAAATATAAGAAAGAGGTTTTGACTGGATGACCTAATTGACCTCACTAGCCACATATTATTGTATATCTTTCTCATTTTAATCCATAATGGAATCTTTCTAGAATATTAACTATCTAAATTTTAAATCTAGATGGTAGATAATTTGGATTTTTTTCTGGATTATAATTTATAATATGAATTAATGAGAGTTTACTATAAGTTAATTTGTAAACTTCAAATTCCTGTTAAATTAAGCAATTTCTATATCTGTTCTGTATATAATGTAATTATAAATGAATGAATTTATAATTAAAATTATTTTTCAATTAAGTTTATAGGTTGTCCTTCCGATCTACTTGTGACAGATATTTCCCAGAAGGAAGAGAATAAACATGAATTAGATATTCAGTATAAATTTCCGTGGGGAATAGAAACTGTAGAGAAATTAACAAATTTAGGAAGTTCCCCAATGAATTTACTGAAAGATAAAATGGGAATTGATTGTAATGTTAAAGATGGAAGAAAAATCATTGTTCCACATATGATCACTTGCGAATCTTCTCTTGATTTAGCTGTGATGATGTATCTTTTGGATGCTTTTCAAGAAAAGGAAAGGATGGATAAAAAAAGACAGGTAATTTCATTTTAAAACATAATTTAATATTTATATTATTGAATATAAGTTTAGCTTAATTGTACCTGTACAGGTTATGAAATTGCATTTTAAATTAGTTCCTTATAAAGTAGTCATTGCCAGTCCTGCCAGTGTGGGGAATGCCACTAAAGTTCAAGATCTGACAGATTACATCACAATGGAATTAAAGAAAGGTGGCATAACTGTGTTTCCTAATCCTGACCTTAATACTCCTGCATCTTTAGAATTTCAGTTTGCTAGGTAAGTTTGAACAAGAGTTTAACTTTGTAAACATTATAAACTAAAAGTAGGATTAAGAAATAAGTTAAGTCCAGATTGCTTAAGGTTTTAAATATTTAATATGTATGTATGTGTGTGTGTGTATACTGCTCTCTTCTGTGTATGTGTACTATATCAACCAAAATGTCATGATTTCACTGAGCATTTTCCCTCTTTCATGTTTTGATTATTTATTGGTGATTTCATCTAGTGTTTACTCCCAGTCCAAATTTTGGAAGAAGTTTTGTTCCTCCAATATCAAATCAAAAGTCAAAATATTGAATAATACTGTATGTTATGGATATATGTCATTGTTGTTGGGAAGAGTAAGAAGGAAATTTTAACAGAAATATATTGGCAGATTTTCCTAGTACAGTTTCCTTGAATTTTGTTATGCAATGAAATGATAAGGTTCAAAATTAGTTATGATTTAATAAATATTTTGGATTCCACATCACACATTCAAAGTTATAAGTTAGTATGCATTTTGTTATTGCATTGTCTACAGTTTCTTTCATCCTATGACAATTTTTATTGTAGAACTTTTATAACTCCAATAATTCTTCTACTTATTATCATGCTTTGTTGAATTTCTCTTTCATATTATTTTTCACTTGTATCAATAATGTATCTCAAATATTTGTAGCTTTTGCATGTTACCTTATTTCTTAAATCAATATTAACTTCTACTAGAGTCCATATACAAGTATTTTGTTCTTCATTCATTCACATGTAGTCTCCATTTTTTATATTCATATAATTTTATTTTCATGTAACAATGAATTTCTTCTTTGTCTTGTGCAGCAATAATCTGATTATCTACAAAATGCAGACCATGCAGGCTTTCTTCTATTTCAAATTATATAGTTTATTTCTTTTTCTATTTCCCCAATGCTTTTTTTCTGAAAGAACATTATTTAGCATAGTCCCAATATTTCATTCTTTTTTGCAAAAGTGCTTGCGTGCTGTAAGGAATTTGCATAAAGTTCCAATAAAATAATAATAACTTTTTCAATCAGAAATAAAACTAAAAACAATGAAGTATTTTTGATGAGAAATGGAGTTTGTTTGTTATCTTCTTGTTTCAGAATGCAAGTGTTTGTATTTTTTGGATCAAACATTGTGTTTTGTTTTTTCTTTTTGAGATTTGTTTCTTTAGTGTATTTCTTTTCTACTTTTGTAAAAGTAAAGCATGTTTATATCCTGACAACCCTCTATGTGGTTTTTTTTTTTTTGAAATTGAACAGTACAATAAAGTTTGATTTTTCATAGATATTATTCAAATGTTTTCTGTTTCAAAGACCAAAATATATTTTTTTTTGTTTCCATATTATCTTCAAACCAAAAACATATACCTTGTTGCTGTATTCTAATCTCAAAACATTAATAGGACATTCATAAAAGCATATTTACAGTGAAAAATCAAAAGATATAATATTCACTCTAAAAGAGTGTTAAAAAATCAAGTAGCAATTTTAGGAGTAATTAAATTTGGAAAAAGTAAGAGTTTGATGCATTAAAAGATGACTAAGAGTAAGAAAGATAAATCAATAGAGAAAAAAAAACTGAGTGGATTTAAATTCACTTGACATCTTTCATCTACTCAATGTCACTACTATGCAGGGTCGGCTCAATGGGTGAGGCAATGGGCCAACTGCCTCAAGTGACAAAATGAAAAATCAAAAATGTTCAAATGGAGAAAAAATAAAAAAATAAATAAAAATAATAAGCAGAATATAATTAAGACCCATAAATTTACTATAAAGTTTTATTTTATTCTAAAATTGTCAACATGGACTTATCGGATTAATAGGACTATTACACTGGTGTATTAGCTATTAACAAAAGGAGGAGTTCTAATCAGAAAATCAAAAAATTTTTATTTTTTCTCCTGTAGTAGTTTTCCTGGTTTTTTTTTCTGATTAAAAACTCCTCCTTTTGTTAATAGCCAATACACCAGTGTAATAGTCCTATTAATTCAATAAGTCCATGTTGACAATTTTAGAATAAAATACAAGTTAAGGGCATTAAGGCAAGTAAATATACTGTAAAGTTGTTTATAAATAGTTCATACATAGAGCTAGAAGTGGATTGCTATTGGGAATCGTTCTGGATGCAGGGGGCAGCAAAATTTGGTTTTGCCTCAAGCACAAGTTACCATCAAGGCTGCACTGCTAATAAGAGGTTATGAATAAAACAGTCTAGCATAGCTTCATATATACTGTTAATCATATCTAAGGAACATTATTTTTAAAGACATAGGTTATGCAAAGCTGGTCAAAATGCATTGAATAATAAACAGAAAAGTGCATGATTCAAGGAATCGTAATAAAGTACCAGAGTCCTTAATCTTAAGCCACCTACTTTGAAAAATATTGAAAAATAAATTGTATGATACCAAATAACAAGTTCCAAATATACATAATTAGCCATTCTGTTTAATCTCTCTTTCTGATTTATGAGACAAAATGTTCAATATAACAAGTGCTGATTAAATTTACAAGAACAAACTATTATATTCATGAATATGATAAGATTGACATTTTTATACACTATAGTTTAAAGCTTTGTAGTTTCTAGTCTTCATTTTTGTTTCATTCATATTGTGCATTCATTCTTTAGAGATAGAGCCATTTATTTTAATGTGTGCAGTTTAAGCTACAGTGTTGCTTGCAACACTATAATTTAAATTCTTTGTCTGTAAATTTTTTGTCCATTGGAGATTATTATTTAATAAATTTGAAGACAAAGTCTGCCCAAAAGGGACCACCATTTATTTTGTGTTCCAGACTACACATTCTTGGTGACAGACCATTCTTTATAGGATACTTGCCACCAGAAGTTAAAAACAGTCCTTTAAAAAAACATAAAATATATCCAATTAAAATTACAAATATTTTTAAAAGGAACTGGTGACATATTTTTTTAAAATCTACATTTTCCAGTGCCTGTTTTCAGTAGATAAAAGCAGTAACAAAGGGTATGGATGGATGTCTGTATGTCACCAGTTTTTCTTTTAACTGTACTGTTGTTATATTTAACTAATTGTAGTGTTATTTACATATTCCATTTACAGTTATCCATTAGTTATTATTGTCAGTTTAGGCAAACCTCAAAGAGATTATGCATGGTGTTTGAAAAGTTACTGTGCAGTGAGAAGTTTGTAATGACATTAAAGTCATACATACAACATTGCATATGAGACCTGTAAGTTATATGTTCCACTTTGCAGTAGATGGCATTACTATATACTACATTTTTTTTTTTTTTTTTGGAACTCTTTGGAGTTCTTTGTCAACTACATATATTTCAATAGAATCTGACCTGCTAGGTCTCCAGACCTCAATTTCCAGTTTTTGGGGCCTCAGGACATTTCTAGCATTTGCTTTAAGAGAAACTGCAATATCATGCACAAAACTTCACTTTTATTACAACTTTAGTGAAACCTTTTCTACTGCACAATAATTTTTAAGACCCCAGTAATAAGTGGATTATTAAAAATGAGTACTTTTGACATTTCAAAATGTCATCTTCAGGTTGAGCTTACACTGTTCGGATTACAATAAAATAAGTGGATTATATATTCTATTAGCATACACAATATCATAAAAAATGAGCAATTATTTACTCTGAAATTGTCACAATTCCAAGCAGAGCTGGCCCTACCATAGGGTGAACGGAGCAGCCACTCCAGGCACTAAGTCCTAGGAGCGTCTCAGTTGTAAAGAAAATTAAAGGAAAAAATATTTTAATTGCAAGTACGTGGCAAGTATGTGAATGTCCTTATCTGTTGAGACATGCATGGGTCGAGTGCGTGGTTGGGGTTCCACGTCCAGGTGCCATAATAGGATCTCGCTCCATCCTAAAACTTGAGCCTCGAGCCAGCACTGATTCTGAGCTACAAGTTTTCATCATAATGCACTTAAGTTTAGTAGTGTCTTGTCCCTGTATATCATACTTTTCCTGTTAACAATGAAGTCATGCCGTCATGTATCTAACTCTGGGAGAAAATTTTTTAATTGAAATAACGTGACTTCTGGCCTAAAGCAGAAGTTCATATATAATTAATCGGGGCCTCTTGCCCATAAACTTGCCATATATGGTCTCAACTTTCATCTGTCTAACCTCATTCTCAAGATTAAGGAAGGACAAACAGACGACAGTGGGAATTAGAAAATCAGATAGAAATATCATGTTTGCCAAAGGTTGAAGAAATATGCAACATTTTTAATGTATTAAATTTAGAAACTCCTCTTTGAACTGATTATGGATCATAGAAGCACCATTATTTTTTTTAATAGCGTTGAGAATCATTTCATATTTATTTCAGAACATTTTTTGAAAGATTATGCAAAATAAAAATGAATGATGATGTTAAAATGTCTACTTACATATATTTTAACATTATTATTATTTTTATTGATGTTAATAAAAATATCAATACAATATATTAATATTTTAATATTAACATGTTGTCAGTTAACTATTTTACTCCAAGATATGAGATAATATAGTTAATCTTTTACTTATGTATATTATTTTTATCTTGTATTTTTATATTTTATTTTATTTTTTAATTTTAATTTTAAATTGTTCAGCATTTGATGTTCTAAAATATTTCTGTTATTCTACTTAATCTTTCAATTTTACATGTTGTTCAATTTATTGTATGTTATTATTAAAAATGACCAAAAATATTAATAAATGTTTTTGCTACTTGTAAAAGATTGTTTATTGCGAGTGAATGTACATTAAACTTTTTATGTTGAATAATAAATATAGTTAACCGTTCGTTATATTTTTCATTTCTGAGAACTTTATTCTTGTATTACAGGTTCGTGTACCGGTAATCTGCATTTTTCAATTAAAATTTTACGAATGTATAATATAAATATAAAATAAAGTTATTTTTAAAATTCAGAACGTTTTCTTATTCATATTTTGAATGTGAGAATTAAATTAAATGGAAACAATAATTTGAT